CTCAGGGAACACCCCACCCTTTGTCGACTCTCCAGTTCCATTTCCTCAAGAGTATTTGGACACTTTTAAAACACTAACAAAGAAAGGCTACACCGAGCACGATGCGTACATCGCAACAGAAAGAATCATTGTGATGCTTGGCGAAGTTTTTGACCTGAAAAATAACGGAGCAGCCAATTACACAAATAAATTGTTTGGAGTGTTAGAACTCGTCAACAAAAAGCAGTTTGATCGACTCAACGAATTGGGCATTATACCAACCACCTTTGGACTGCGGTGGGTTCGAATGCTCTTCTCTCGAGAGTTTACCATAGAGAACACCATAGTTTGTTATTCTTCCATATAGTTAAAATTAATAGTTTTTATATAGTAAATGTATAATTAACAACGAAGAAACTGTGGGATGGCATATTCTCTTATGGGCATGCGATGTCTTTGATCAAATCGATTTACTTAGTTCTTTTACTCGACTGTTGTCAAGAAGAGGATGACGGGATACTCATGAGACTGATGCATGACCCCGCAAAGAACTATACGAATATAGAAAACTTGTTAAGAGACTCTATTGCATTTGATCAACGCCACAGACATGTACTGAATATATAGAGAGTTCTGTAATTTATATGAAATTGTTGTGGTCGACTTATTAACATTATTTAATATGCAAGTGTGGTTATACTAATATAATATAATAATATATAATAATATATAATAATATATAATAATTTTATTAATTAAAAAACACCAAAAAAGTTATTATTATTATTATTATTATTATTATTATTATTATTATTATTATTATTATTATTATTATTATTATTATTATTATTATTATTATTATTATTATTATTATTATTATTATTATTATTATTATTATTATTATTATTATTATTATTATTATTATTATTATTATTATTATTATTATTATTATTATTATTATTATTATTATTATTATTATTATTATTATTATTATTATTATTATTATTATTATTATTATTATTATTATTATTATTATTATTATTATTATTATTATTATTATTATTATTATTATTATTATTATTATTATTATTATTATTATTATTATTATTATTATTATTATTATTATTATTATTATTATTATTATTATTATTATTATTATTATTATTATTATTATTATTATTATTATTATCACTCTTTACTTTCACTACGACGACTAATCATTG